ACCACCTGAAGTGCCCTTTGTGTGCCCATCACCTACACTTTAACTACACAGACCAGCTCTTTTCTGCTTGCAACCAAAACAGGCAGTGAGGAAGCAGTGGTAGCTTCTCCCCACTGTTGTTTTTCCATTTTCAAATCATCCTGCAAAGCTGTCATTGGCTCCGTTGTCACACTTACGTGTAGCAAAGTAAGTCACATAATTTTAATAATGGAGCCAACAGCAGCTCCATCAGGAGTTGTACAAATGTGAAAACAGCTGTGCTTGTGGCAGGCAGAAAACTCCTGTCCCATGTCTGATATGAAGTCTTCAGGTTCTTCCCCAAGGAATGCACAAAGAAGAAGGAGGAGGAAGAGGAGGGGAAGGGTTGGTTTTTATACCCCTTTTTCTGTACTCTAAGGAGTCTCAAAGTGGCTTACAATTGCCTGTCCTTCCTCTCCCTACAGCAGTCACCTTGTGAGGTAGGTGGGGCTGAGAGAGATCTGAGAGAACTGTGACTGGCCCAAGGTCATGTGTGGAGGAGTGGGGAATGAAAGCTGGTTCTCCACATTAGAGTTCTCCGCTCTTAACCACAATGCTAGTTCTTAACCATGCTGGCTCTCAAGGGTCTCACAAGGACTTCGTAATGTGTAGATAAGCCCTTAGTGCTTATGTCTATCTCTTGCCATCTCTCAGAGGGGTTTTGGCCTCACAATAATCTTCTGAAGTTCCATCAAGGTTGTCATGTTAGTCTGTGGTAGCAGGAATTCAGTAGCACCTTAAAGGCTAACAATTTACTCCAACACAAGCTATCATGAGTCAATTTCTATGGTAGATAGGTGGGATATAAATTTTCTAGGTAAATACATTCAAACCAAAGTGAGTATGAGGTACTCTCGCACAATGTAATTACCGTGTTGTGTTTCAGCCATGTGAAATCTATGCAACCAAGTAAGGGATATGGGCTGAGCTATACAGCACCAATTTTTTTTGTGCAAACATTGCCCAAACTTAGCATACTTCCCATTCCTGCCTGCCATTTTGGCCTGTCAGCCAGATGGAAAATTCCAGCATTACTAGTTTGACAGTTTGGTCAACCACAAACACAGGAAGCAAGGGGCAGTGGTTCTTAGTGGTTTTGCATAGTATGTCTCCATGTGAGACATGTAGTTTTCCTGGACTGTGATAGAAACTACTGGAGATCAGAGGAACCAGATTACTCGTATGCAGATGGTGTGGTTTTACCACAAAGAACCCTAAAGAATCCACTGTTCTTTTGTTGAATGTAATTAAAGAATTTGATATGGACACAGGTTATACAATAAATTTGGGGGGGGGTGAATAAGTTCGTACAGTTTTTAACGTTGCAGAAGATGAAAAAAGATTTGATTACTAGGCTGAAAGTACAAAAATATAAGAACAAAAGTATAGGAAATTTTGGTATTCACTTACCTAACAATATTGATTAATTAATATCAACTAATTTGGATCCTCTACTAACAGAAATAGAAGTTCAATTAAAGAAATGGTCAATGTTTGAACAGTCTTGGCCAATGCTCCCTCTAAGCTGTGGAGTCTTGTGAGGAAAAATTCTACTTTGTGAGCTACTGGCATTAAAGTTGTGAGCGAGTGATTTGGCTACTGCATAAATAAGTTTGCTCTGGAGCCCCATCCTTCCTGAGCTAAGACAAAAATGTATGAGCCAGAGGCTAAAAACCTGTGAACTAGCTCACACTAACTCAGCTTAGAAGGAACATTGGTCTTGGCTGGGCAGGATAGTTGCTGTCAACATGAAAATCTTGCTCAATTTCCCCCCCCCCCTTGCCATTCCTCAGATACTACTAAAGAAAGTAGAACAAAGTTTGAGAACAAAGACTCAAACTTTATCCTGCTGCTTTAGACCAACACGGTTGCCCACCTGAATCTACTAAAGTACTATCTATTTTTGATAAATTTATATGGAGTGGGAAAAGGTCTAGAAAATCAGATAATGGAAGCATCTCAGAAGAAAAGGCAGTCTTGCTTTCCTTATAATAAATAGGTACTATCAATTGTCTGTGTTGACAGCACTTACATTTCAGAGGCTTCCGATGGAGAATAAAATCAGTCCAGAAAAAAGTACCCATTTATCGATATTTCCAGGTGAAACATGGACTACAGACTGTACTTAAAATATATAATGTTTATAGATCTTTAAATAAATTTGAAATGTTGTTGGAAAACCCAAGGAAAATAAAAGCCCTTTAGGCCAGAGTATATTCTAGGATTCAAGAAATGGATGAGATATGTTGGAATTAGTAAGAAAAATAGGAGAGAGAATGAGCCGTATCTATTTCCTATTGATAAACAGGGCAGGGGGGACACCTTAAGGAAGTCTCTAAAGTTTCTCTTGATGTGAGCATTAGAGAAAATTGCCTGAAATTGAACTTCTGATGGCATTTTGCTTCAGTCAGATTAGTGATGATCTCAGGACTCTGTAGGAAGCATGGTAGGGCAAGAGGTACTCTGCTACATGTGTCGAGGGAGTGTGAACTAGTTCAAAGACATTGGAGTTTAGTTCATAAAGAAATAATGTATATTATAGTCTATACATTTTATTCATCCCCTGCAATGTATCTGTTAGGAGATGTATCCATTGGGATAAAAAAAATTATATGGCATATTAGTCAGGAATTTAATTATAGCAGCAAGGATGACATTAGCTCAGACACAGAAACAACAAACAACTCTATAAAAAGACATTGGTTAAGTAGGATTTGGCTTGAATGGTTACGGATAAGGCCACAACTTACATAATGATAATGAAGAACATAGATATATGGTAAATTCAGAAGGAGTTGGTCTCCTTTTCTGAAGTTCTGGAATTTTAGTATTCTATTTAATATGGTAGAGAAGGAGGTGTAAGACTATATTTCTTAATATAGTGTAGCTTCCCCCCCCCCCTTTTACTTGAATAATACATCTTTGTAGGTATACTTGTAGTATTTTCCATGAGTCTGATCGGTTGAATATAACTTATAAAGAATACTATGTGTGTGTGTATAGAAAACAAATTTATGTATACAGCCAGCATTCTGGAGTGTTAGTGTGTCAGACTAGGATCTGAGAAACCCCCCACTCTGCCACGTAAGCATGCTGGGTGACCTTGGGCCAGTCACACACTCTCAGGCTAACCTACCTCACAGGGTGGTTGTGAGGATGAAATGCAGAAGTGGAGAATGTTGTGAGCCACTTTGGGCCTCTGTTGGGGAGAAAGGTGGGTATAAGTGAAGGAAATATATTACTGGAGACCAGTGCTGGAAAGCACATTCCAAACCTTGACAAAAAATCTCAGGTGAATGTGCCCTCTAGTTGTGCTGCTGCTAAACTTGTTCTCATCTGACTCTCCCCAGTTCTGATTTCCCTAGTTTATTTCTGAAGAGCAAATGATGTATTAGAAATCCTAATTTCTGCATTTGGCACTGCACATTTGCAGTTTGACACAGCTATTAGGTTTGCCAACCTCCAGGTGGTTGTAACCTCCAGATGGGGCCTAGAGATCTCCCAGAATTAGGACTAATCTCCAGACCATAGAGATCAATTCCTATAGAGGAAATGACAGGTTTGGAAATTGAGCTCTGTGGCATCACATACCTGCCGAGCTCCCTCCCTTCCCCCTAACTCCTCCCTTCCCAGGCGCCACTGTCAAATCTACAGGAATTTCCCTGCCTGGAACTGGCAATCCTACGCAGCTTTCAGCTCTGTGAACTCAAATGCAGATTTATTCCCCTCAGAGTTACTGTTGTGCACATGCACAGTTGATAAAAGGCTGTTGTGACTCATTGTATTGAGACTGTGATGTCATGGTGTCTCGCCAGTGAGCAATGGTGCATGCATGTATTGATTAAACACAAGGCAGAAAAGATTCTTAATGACACCCTATGTACCGTCACAACACTACTGTGTTTTTTGCCAGTAATTTTAAAATGTGTTCATCAACAAAATTTAGGGGAGAAAATCTGCAAATGAATGGATAGAACTAAATGCTGGGACAAATTCCATATGCTCCAAGGTCTGGAATTAATTTTCTCCTAATTAGCTTGCATTGAGACAGAAGTCCTAGAACAGTCAAATAGCATTATGGGAATGAACACAGCATTGAAATCTGGTTCTTTTGCTGGACCACATTTGGTGGCTTTTAAAAAAAGTAAACATCCCATGTAAGCTTTTGACTTTCATGGGTCTCTTGTTCACCTGGGTCACTAACAGTGAAACTATAAGAAGAGTTATGCCCTTCTACATCCATTCACTTCAACAGACATAGCATGCGTAACTGTGTTTAGAATTACTCTGTCAAGTACTACAATTAAAAATATCCCCCCCATTCCCACAATCAGTATAATTTTGCAGATGCTGCTTTAAAAATCTACATCATTTAATGGAGATTAAAAAAACAAAACACCTTCTATTGGTTTTTGAACAGTACTGCTTTGTAATTCTAGGTGAGAAAAAAAATCTATATGATGATTTTTTTAAAAATCTCACTGAAGTGGTCTGTAAGGCTTTCTTCTCCCTTCCTGCCACAAATCCCAGCTGGCCAGCTCCAACTGTATGCCCCAGTCATGTCCTTGGGCATTATGGGTAAGATGGCCCAGCTAGGAGGAGAATGTGCCCTTAAAGCAATGAGGAAACTCTCTAGAGGCCATTACCAAATCTCTTCTTCCCTTCTCCCCATCAAATTTCCACCACCAAGGCTGTCCTCCTTGTCATGAGTGAAATATTGAACACGACGCTTGGAGAGAACCTTAAATATTATTTTAATCTCAAGCTTTCTGTTATTGCAAGCTTCAGGTCCAGCACTTCTAGTAAATACTTGGAAAGGGGCCAGGTCCTGAAAACTCCAGATGTTCTAGGAGCAAAACTTCATTTCTAAAGCGGAGAATAAGGAGCAACTGGGGTAGGGGAAGTAAACCCACCACATGACTTTCCTCTACACTGGTTTCTTTGTCTCACTGTCTCCATTCTTCTTCCCCTCTCTCCTCTAGAATGTCGTCTGCACAGCAGCACTCAAGTGGTATCCGTATCCTGCACTGATCCACTGCATGAAGGGGTGTGAGGTGAGCATTGGCCTGTGTGTGCTGCTGTCTGCATTACAGGCTCTGTTATACCAGGAGTTTGTCGCAGTGAGGGGTGAGAAAAGCTCCATCTGTCCAAATTCCCTCTTCCTAAGAAGCTCTGATAGATTCAGAAGCCTTAGACCCAGGGTGACAACTTTAATCACCAAAGGATTCCCTGGTAGTTCAGCAGTTAGAGGATTGTGAGGCACTCCAAAGGGATCTGTTGAGGATGGGCGAGTGGGTGTCAATGTGGCAAATGGGGTTCAATGTGGCCCAGTGCAAAGTCATGCACATTGGGGCCAAAAATTCTAACTGTAAATACACATTGATGGGTCCGAACTGTTGGAGACTGACTAAGAGAGAGATCTTGGAGTCATAGTAGATAACTCAGTGAAAATGTCTAGACAGTATGCAACTGGAATAAAAAAAGCCAAAAGCATGCTGGGGATTATTAGGAAGGGAATTGAAAACAATTCAGCCTGTATCATAATGCCCCTGTATAAATCAATGGTGTGACCTCATTTGGAATACTGTGTGCAATTCTGATCACCACACCTCAGAAAGGATATTACAGCATTGGAAAAAGTGCAGAAAAGGGCAACTAGAATGATAAAAGGGTTGGAACACTTTCCCTATATAGAAAGGTTAAAGCATTTGGGGCTCTTTAGCTTGGAGAAACAATGACTGAGGGGTGACATGATCGAGGTTTATAAGATTATGCGTGGGATAGAGCAGGTTGAGAAAGAAGTACTTTTCTCCCTTTCTCACAATACAAGAACTCGTGGGCACTCAATGAAATTCCTGAGCTGGTGGGTAACAGATAAAAGGAAGTACTTCTTCACCCAAAGAGTGATTAACACATGGAATTCACTGCCACAGGAGGTGATGGCAGCTACAAGTATGGACAGCTTCAAGAGGGAATTACCGTAGATAAACATATGGAACAGAGGTCTATCAGTAGCTATTAGCCACAAGGTATAGATAGGAACTCTCAGGCTGGGGCCAGTGATGCTCCATATTTTTGGTGCTTGAGGGGGAGCAACAGTAGGAGGGCTTCTAGTGTCCTGGCCGCACTGGTGGACCTCCTGATGGCACCTGGTATTTTTGGCCACTGTGTGACAGAGTGTTGGACTGGATGGGCCGTTGGCCTGATTCAACACTGGCTTCTCTTATGTTCTTATTTAATACACGTGATGGAATTTCTGTGGATATCCAAGACAATGATGCAGAAAAATAGAAAACTCCATGCAAACTAAGGGTAGGTTTTCCATATCCTTAAACATATCCTGTGTTTTGTGGGCCTTTCTGTGAAGGAGTTCCCAGGGACAGATTGGCCATTATAGCCACCAGGGAATTTCCCAGTGAGCAAATGGCCTGCTACCCAACTTGGGCTCATCCAGCCCTGGGTAGAAGACCCTGTGAAGTCTGGGGATGGCAGCTCCCAGCCTGAGGAAGTTGTGCTTTTGGGCACAGTGTACAGATAGCGAAGCCCAGACCTGGTACAGAAATGCAAGGTACAGGGCTAGCTAGCTCTTTCTCCTTCTCTCCTTTCCCCTCTCCTTTGTAAGGGTGGGGCCTGGGCGGGTTTGTGGCTGGTGTCCTTATCTAGGGCCACTTTTTCTTAATCCCCCTTGCTACTTTCTTTATATAGCTGAGGTTTGAAGTGTTTGGTTTCCTGTAGCTGGTTTCATGACCAGAAAAAAATAGATTCCAGGGCTCAAAACTGTGGACTCTAGCACTGGAGTGGTAGTGGTAGTTCCTACTATGACTGTTCCTTAAATACCTGATATTACAAAATAGCATCGATTAAGTAACATCTTCAAATTGGACTCCCAAACCTAATTTGGGTGCCAGATTAGTAACGCAAAAGACTGTTAAATTTATTTCACTGCACTTTTCCTGCCTGACCAGGTTCCCCCATCAATGCAAATGGCATCATTTAAACCCTTTGTGACAATCCTGGTCTTTTGATATTTTTCTCCTTGGGCACCAAGAATGTGTATTTCCAGCCTAAGGTGAATGTTTTAGCATAACAGACATGAAAAGGGAATGCAAAGATTCTCTTCCTTGAGTAAGGGTTGGCTTTGGTGATGTGAAAGGGGGCTAAAATTACCCAGATTGATGTGGAAGCATCTTTACCTTTTTGTGATGGGCTTGTAATGTATTTGGCTTTTCACGTTTCCTGTGGTGGGATACCTCACTCAGCAGGTTCTTCTGAATAGCATGAAAGCAGAATTCAATCCCTCCCTGGGATCATCATCCTATGTCTTTCAGGGCAAACAGCATCACTGGATTTACTTATTTCTTACTTTGGAGATTATCAGTCTCTGAGCAAACAAAGAACTGTGGAACTATATGTAGGGCTGTTACCTGTCCTGCAAATCTCCGTAGAATCTAGAACTGGATATGGAATTCAGCACCCTGAAAAGCATCAGCTTCACTCTTTAAAAAAAAAAATACAGCAAATTTCTAGTCTTTGTGGCAACCAAAGTAGGCTTGAATGGGAGCACTATCTGGTAAAGCCACAGGAAGGGTTTTTATTGCTTACCCTCTAATATATACTTATTTCTATATCTAAACCCTTGTCCAAGGCCTCCTCCATTACACCTCACTGAAGCCTGTTTTCTGCCAGCTGCATGGTGCACTATTTGTATTCCACTCTGTATTCCACTGCTTTGGGCTTAAGGACATACTCCCCAAAAAGTTAGTTGTTTGTTTTTTAATCTCAGAGCTGGTAGGTGCCACCAGGGCCATCTAATCCGACTCTCCTGCCAGCATAGGAAATACAATATCCTGATAAGGAGGTATCTAATTGATACTTAAAAACCTCCAACAAGATTAAATGCACTACCATCCACAATCTCTGAAGGCCATATATTAGACATACCATTTTCAGATAGATATTGTGGTTGTGGTTTAGGGATCATAGACTCTATGAAGCATGTTCTGTTTGAATGTCTGTGGTATAAGGAGGCTAGAAAGAAATGGATCAAACCACTTACATGCCAGAGAAAGGTGCTTCCCCTAGACACTTTAGTTATTAAACTTTTAATGGATTCTAGGCCAACAAATATTCTTTTTTTAAAGCTAAATTCCTTGTTCAGCCCATGAGGGCTCAGGCAGCCTGTGACAAGACATCTTCTCTAATATGGTACACCTGCCTCTCTGGCTTGAATTCTTCCTTTCTTCCTGTTATTCCTAGTTGGGATTGATTGATACTACTCAGGACCTGTAGGACAGGGAGAGAGAGAGAGAGAGACTTAAAAACCTCCAACAACAAAAATCTGTCAGGTAATTCTTCCTCAAATTTAGCTGAAACCTGCTTTGCTGTAGTTTGTATCTATTAGTCTGAGTCCTGTCATCCACCCCATCTTCTGCATTGTATCCCTTTAGGTATCAGAAAATGGTGATCATATCACCTAGGGGTGTGGTAAATTTTTCCCTGATTCAGGTCTGTTGGACCCAAAAAATATCAGTATTCTGAATATTCACGAATATCAATATTGTGGGGTAGCCTGGAAGTGGCTTACCTCATTTCTCCAGGGTTGGGGACAGAGGGTGGTGCTAGGAAAGGGGGTATCACCCCAGCACCCTTTGGTATGTGGGGTTCCCCAAGGGGCAATCCTCTCTCCTATGATGTTCAACATCTACATGCACCCTCTCTCCCAGCTAGTATGGGGCTTTGAGCTCGGTTTGACACCAGTACGCTGATGATACCCAGCTGTATCTGTTGATGGGCAGCAGGCTGGATACCGCCCCATCTAACTTGGCAGAGGGACTGGAGGCCGTGATTGAGACAGAGCTGGCTGAGACTGAATCCATCAAAAACGGCGGTCCTGTGCCTGGGTGTGGGAGACCCAAGGATGGGGTGCCAACTCCCAGCTCTTGATGGCGTGCTGCTCATACCAGCATCAACCATCAAGAGTCTGGGTGTGCTCCTGGGTGCCTCCCTATCTGTGGAGGCCCAGGGTGCAAAAGTTCCCAGACTGGTGTTTTTCCGAGTACACCAAGTCCCCAGGTATCTCTCCTGTCCTCCAACATTTTGCAAAAATTAAAGAGAGAGGTTCCAAAATGACATCTGCCAACTCCTTCAGCACTCAAGGTTGCAGTTTATCAGGTCCTGAGGACTTGTATGGATTTAAAGCAACCAGGTGTTCCCTGAATCTATATATCTAATAGTGAAGTGCCCCCGTCTGTGCGGATATCTATATCTGCACTTCGGGGGCACTTGGGGGTTTGTGCACTCTTGGGGCAGTCCCCAGGGGTGCACAAAAATCTGAAAACTAAAAAAAAATATCGGGGGGATGTTTAAATCCCCCCGAAAGTGCCAGCCGGGGGGACAGCGAGGCCTGGGGAGGCCCGAGGCAGCCTCGATTCAGAGCCGGACGGGGGGGGGGAGGAAACAGCCGCTCCGAGATACACCCCCGCCGCCTCCCCTCGCCCGTTCCCCGGCCCCGCGGCACTCTCCCGCTTGCCCACCTTCGCCTCCAGCAGCAGCAGCCACAGCACAGGAGGTCCAAGGAGCAGCGTCGAGGCGTCCCTCCCATCTCGCCGGCCAGCCGCAGAAAGCGAAAGCGGCCGCTCTCCTCCTGCTCCAGGAGAGACCCAGCAGCAGCGGCGGCGGCGAGACACAAGTGAAGAGGGGGAAGAAAGTCGGGGAGGGGAAGAGAGACTGCCGAGGGCCTCGGTACACGGGGAAAAAGAGAGAGAGAGAGAGTGGGGGGGGAGAAGAGAGACTGGTGAGGGGGGGGAGACAGCCCGGCGAGGCCAAGCTTTGACGGGGGATAGAGACAGAGAGAGAGAGAGACTGGGGGGGGGGAAGAGAGAGAACGGGGGAAAGAGAGAGACTGCCCCCCCGCGAGTATCGCGGGTCTCCCCCATGTATATTCTATATCAAAATCCCTCTATTTGGTTATCCCAACCCTCACCTCCTCATTGTACACTAGTTCCTTTAGAAGAAAAAAAAGGTAAACAAAATAAGAATTTAAAAGCTCAGTCAT